TGTCATTCAAAATGTGATAGCGCTGAAAGCTGAATATTGGCCTGGACAGAAAGGGGGTGAAAGTGTCGGGACTGGAAGGGGGTGAAAGTGTCGGGACTGGAAGGGGGTGAAAGTGTCGGGACCGGAAGGGGGTGAAAGTGTCGGGACCGGAAGGGGGTGAAAGTGTCGGGACCGGAAGGGGGTGAAAGTGTCGGGACCGGAAGGGGGTGAAAGCGTCGGGACCGGAAGGGGGTGAAAGCGTCGGGACCGGAAGGGGGTGAAAGCGTCGGGACCGGAAGGGGGTGAAAGCGTCGGGACCGGAAGGGGGTGAAAGCGTCGGGACCGGAAGGGGGTGAAAGTGTCGGCACCGGAAGGGGGGGTGAAAGTGTCGGCACCGGAAGGGGGTGAAAGTGTCGGCACCGGAAGGGGGTGAAAGTGTCGGCACCGGAAGGGGGGTGAAAGTGTCGGCACCGGAAGGGGGTGAAAGTGTCGGCACCGGAAGGGGGTGAAAGTGTCGGCACCGGAAAGGGGGGGTGAAAGTGTCGGCACCGGAAGGGGGTGAAAGTGTCGGCACCGGAAGGGGGTGAAAGTGTCGGCACCGGAAGGGGGTGAAAGTGTCGGCACCGGAAGGGGGTGAAAGCGTCGGGACCGGAAGGGGGTGAAAGCGTCGGGACCGGAAGGGGGTGAAAGCGTCGGGACCGGAAGGGGGTGAAAGCGTCGGGACCGGAAGGGGGTGAAAGCGTCGGGACCGGAAGGGGGTGAAAGCGTCGGGACCGGAAGGGGGTGAAAGCGTCGGGACCGGAAGGGGGTGAAAGCGTCGGGACCGGAAGGGGGTGAAAGCGTCGGGACCGGAAGGGGGTGAAAGCGTCGGGACCGGAAGGGGGGTAGAGTGTCGGGACCGGAAGGGGGTGAAAGCGTCGGGACCGGAAGGGGGGGAAAGTGTCGGGACCAGAAGGGGGGGAAAGTGTCGGGACTGGAAGTGGTTAAACAACTGTAGTATCAGGCTGCAACATAACAAAATTGAAAAAAAAAAATGAGAAGAAGAAGGCTATAGATAATTGAAATGAATGTATGATATCATATTTCAACCAAAGATATGCTTTAAAATAATTCCTGGTGATCCTGCCAAAAAGGTCCTTGTTCAGGCACTTCCTGTTCTGATGACAACTCCCTGTAATGTAGTTACACTCCTGCATTGTCACTTGGGGCTTCTGATGGAGACTGAAAGTGTCAAGTTGGCATGGTCCACTGTTGCCACCATCTGGAGCAATGCCATGCGACTATCGCTGGAGTGCATGTATGTAGGCCGGATGTGGCTACAAAGAGGCTGCAGACGATCAGTAGCATTGAGATGTAATGAAAGATAGAAAATGCAAAATGAAGCACAGTGCAAACGAATTGTTGATCTGGGGACTGCGTCCTGCCATCAGGCATTGCCAACATCCTGCCATCTCCATCATCTCCCGCCGGGCCTTTGAAGCTGGTTGTAGCACCTGCAGTGTGTACAGTCTGCTTTTTATTCCATTCTCATTTTCTGTGTCGATGTCATTTCTCTTTGTTGTAACAATCTCCAGCACTGTAGAGGCAAACCAGACCTGTCTGTGTAAGGACCGGCATTGCCGCTGTGAAGTGTGACTTTAGTCCTTGAGAAGTCTCACCGGCTCCCAGCAGCTGAAGTCTGTTTGCAGGTTATTTTCTTCTTTCACACAATGGAGCTGATAAGGAAGACTGCCGCTGTTTCAGCCCTTGCTAATCCCCGCAATTAATTCTGCCCATTATGCGGCTTGCTGAGTGATAATCTGAAATGCTGCAGCTGGCGGATGCGTTGGCTTATTATTTGTTTAAAGTGTATCTAAACCCGAGACCGAAAATGTAGTATATTGTAAAATCAGATGTGGCTGCATTAGTTTTCTTTTTTAACCGCCTCCCGCCCGCCATATAAGGTAATGACGGGTGGAAGGCGGTTCTCTCGTTCTGGGAGGTGTCATAGGACGTCCTCCCATTCTTACCGCGCATTCGCGGCTCCAGGAGCACAGGAGTGTGCTGTGTCCCTCGGACACAGCGGATCACGATCAATGGAAAGAGCCGAAGATGTCGGCTCGGTCATGTGACCAGCTGTGTCCAATCACAGCTGATCACATGTAAATAGGTAAATGCTGGTTATCGGCATGTCTCTCCTCACGAGCTGTCACGCTGACAGGGGAGAAGAGAGGAGAGCCGGTAATCGGCTTTACTCAGAGGGGACATCTACACTGATCATCAGGGCACTGATGATCAGTGTGCCCTGGTGATCTGTGTAGCCCCAGCAGTGCCACCTTGCAGTGTCCATCAGTGCCAGCTGCCAGTGCCACATCTGTGCCACATATTAGTGCCTACCAGTGCCACATATCAGTGCCCATCTGAGCTGCCTTTCAGTGTTACCTATCAGTGTCGCCTGTCAGTGCCACCTTTCAGTACTGTCAATCAGTGTGCCAGTCAGTGCCACCTATCAGTGCCATGTATGAGTGCTGCTTTTCAGTGCCCATCAGTACCACCTACCAGTGCCTCCTCATCAGTGCCCATCAGTACCACCTACCAGTGCCTCCTCATCAGTGCCCATCAGTACCACCTACCAGTGCCTCCTCATCAGTGCCCATCAGTACCACCTACCAGTGCCTCCTCATCAGTGCCCATCAGTACCACCTACCAGTGCCTCCTCATCAGTGCCCATCAGTGCAGCCTATCCGTGCCCATCACTGCAGCCTCATTAGCGCATATCAGTGAAGGAAAAAAATCACCTATTTACAAAATTTTATAACAAATTTTCAAAATTTTCAGTGGTTTTTGGTTTGTTTAGCAAAAAAATAAAAAAACCCTGAGGTGATTAAATACCATCAAAATAAAGCTCTATCTGTCTCACAAAAATAATAAAAAATTTCATATGGGTACAGTGTTGCATGACCGCGCAATTGTCATTCAAAATGTGACAGCGCTGAAAGCTGAAAATTGGCCTGGCTGGGAAGAGGGTGTAAGTGTAGGCGAGGGGTTAAAGGCTTTTTTTTTTTTTTTTTTCTTCTTTGCAATAATATACCTCCTGCTCCAGGGTAATAATTCCCACACCGTACTGTATTTGTGGAGGGGCACCATTGTCAGTCTGGGAATCACACTCCTCTTTGGTGTTCCACTGCTGGATAGCTTTGTGGGGGATTGAGATCCACTTAATTACTCAGCATGTTAATTACTCAGCCCTTTAAAGAGGAATTCTGGGATAAACCTAAATATGTCTAACACGGCCCCTGCTTACTAACCTGTGCAATACAGATCTGTATACCTCTCTATTTTCAGGTGACTCCAGTCTGGTTATGTGATCCCTTGTGTCAGTAGCACGGGAGAGGAGACAACGCTTGACAACGGCTAGTAGAACCTGGAGTGGTGAGGTCACATTTAAGCTTTAGTGGCCCATCTGTGGTCTGCACACACTCCTCTCCCCTGCAGCGGTGCTGGTTGACATAGGGGAGATCACGTGTCCGGACTGGAGTGATGATGTCACCTATAGGCTTCGATGGCCTGTCTGTTGTCTGCACTCCCTCCTCTCCTCTGCAGTAGTGCTGGATGACACAGGGGAGGTCACGTGTCCAGACTAGAGCGATGATGTCATCTATAGGCCTCAATGGCCTGTGTGTTGTGTGCATTCCCTCCTCTCCCCTGCAGCGGTGCTGGTTGACATAGGGGAGATCACATGTCCGGACTGGAGCATTGAGGTCCCCTATAAGCTTCATTGGCCCCTCTGTTGTCTACACTCCATCCTCTCCCCTGCAGCGGTGCTGGCTGACACAGGGGAGATCATGTGGCTGGACTGGAGCGGTGAGGTCACCTATAAGCTTCAATGGCCCGTCTGTTGTCTACGCTCCCTCCTCTCCCCTGCAGCACTGCTGGCTGACACAGGGGAGATCATGTGGCTGAACTGGAGAGATGGTGTCACCTATAAGCTTCAATGGCCCGTGTGTTGTGCACACTCCTTCCTCTCCCCTGCAGCGGTTGCTTGCTGACACGGGAGATCACATGGCTGGACTGGAGCGATGATGTCATCTATAGGCTTCAATGGCCTGTGTGTTGTCTGCACTCCCTCTTCTGCCCTGCAGCGGTGCTGGGTGACACAGGGGAAATGATGTGACCGGACTGGAGCAGTGTTGTCACCTACAGGCTTCAATGGCCCAGTGTGTTGTCTGCACTCCCTCTTCTCCCCTGCAGCGCTGATGACTGACACAGGGGAGATGACGTGACTGGACTAGAGTGACGATTTCACCTATAGGTTTCAAGGGCCCGACTGTTGTCTGCACTCGCTACTCTTCTCTGCAGCGGTGCTGGCTGACACGGGGGGAGATCGCATGTCTAGACTGGAGTGATGATGAAACCTATAGGCCTCAATGGCCTGTGTGTTGCCTGCACTCTCTCCTCTGCAGCAGTGCTGGCTGACATTGGAGATCATGTGACCGGACCAGAGCAGCCTGAAAGTAATAGGTTCTTACACAGGTTAGTAGGCATAGGTGTTAGGAGGGGGGAGAAGAGAAAGTAGTTGGGGTTATTCCAGAATTCCACTTTAATGATGTAAAAATAACTGGTGATCCTGCCAATCTAACTGTTCCTTATGCATTTCCTTTGGAAGGGTGACAACACTTTTCTTGTTCTATGTATAGCATCGGCATTGTCACCCATGCATAACTGTGCCAGCTAGAACTACAGCTTGGATGTAATGACCTCGGAGGTGGCACTGGCTAAACTTACAGCTAGTCAGTCAGTGGCTGGCAATGCCTATCCCCATCTACTACACACGGGTAATGAAGTTATAGCAGGGAAAACAAATGAACAGGACACCACACCACTAATGTGGTTATCCTTACAATTTTTTGACATTTGTGGCACCAATCTAGAACTTTAAGTGAAATTGGTTGTGGGATTTATTTATCACGCACCGTTGTCTTCTGTTTTTTACCTTCCTTTGTTGATCCTACCATTGTACTCAGGTTATAGGACTCTGGGATGTAAGGAGCATTCTTCCCATTGATCTCCACAAATGTAAGGGACATTCTTCCCACTGACCACCAATGTAAGGGACATTCTTCCCACTGACCACCAATGTAAGGGACATTCTTCCCACTGACCACCAATGTAAGGGACATTATTCCCACTGACCTCCAATGTAAGGGACATTCTTCCCATTGACCACCAATGTAAGGGACATTCTTCCCACTGACCACCAATGTAAGGGACATTTCTTCCCACTGATCACCAATATAAAGGGCTTTCTTCCCACTGACCCCCAATGTAAAGGGCATTCTTCCCACTGACCCCCAATGTAAGGGACATTCTTCCCACTGACCCCCAATGTAAGGATGTTATTCCCACTGACCACCAATGTAAGGAGCATTCTTCCCACTGACCCCCAATGTAAGGAACATTCTTCCCACTGATCACCAATGTAAGGAACATTCTTCCCACTGACCCCCATGTAAGGGACATTCTTCCCACTGACCCCCAATGTAAGGGGCATTCTTCCCACTGACCACCAATGTAAGGGACATGTTCTTCCCACTGATCACCAATGTAAGGGACATTCTTCCCACTGACCCCCAATGTAAGGGACATTCTTCCCACTGACCCCCAATGTAAGGAATGTTATTCCCACTGACCACCAATGTAAGGGACATTCTTCCCACTGACCACCAATGTAAGGGATATTCTTCCCACTGACCCCCAATGTAAAGGACATTCTTCCCACTGACCCACCAATGTAAGGGACATTCTTCCCACTGACCCCCAATGTAAGGGACATTCTTCCCACTGACCCCCAATGTAAGGGACATTCTTCCCACTGACCACCAATGTAAGGGACGTTCTTCCCACTGACCCCCAATGTAAAGGACATTCTTTCCACTGACCCCCAATGTAAGGGACATTCTTCCCACTGATCACCAATGTAAGGGACATTCTTCCCACTTACAACCAATGTAAGGGTCAGATTTTTTTATTCAACCCCGTTTTTAAATAAATTTTTTTTTTTTTTTTTTTTTTTGCCATTTGCCGGGTGCGCACAGTTTCAAGTCTTGACACATTTGGTGTCTATTTACTTAACACACCCCATGTTTTATATTGTAGGGGAAGTATGTTTGCTTTAAAATTCATTGAATGTGTTTGTTCCTTTAAAATATGTGCTTGCTAAACAGTTACACAAATAATGTTTCAAAAAATGCAATTGCTACAATTTTGTTCTACAGAGCCTCTGGTTTCAGAAAATATATCATTGTTGGAAGTAATTTCCTACCAAAAAATAGCAAATTGTAATGTGTGAGAGAATGTAAAATTGTAAATTCTTACATATACCCAGTGGGGATTTGATATCACACACTGAATAGCATAGAGCAGGAAGCTGAGTATAATCTGGGAGTGGAGGAGAAGGATGGCTCCCCCTTCTACACAGTCTCATAGGGAAACATGCACAGCTCAGGCTGTCAGGCACCTGCTATGTGCTGAGGGTAAGGGGAGTGGAACTGTCCCCCTGGGATTCTATGGTGTCGTTAAAACCTATCACCAGTAACTCAAGCAGGTAGGAACCACACTAGGTGCGTTGGATTGAGGCTTATACACACTATAGAGCAGAGTAGTGTCCCATCATTGGTGTCAGTGGGAGGAATAGTGCCCCGTCATTGGTGTCAATTGGGAGGAATAGTGCCCCGTCAGTGGGAGGAATAGTGCCCCGTCATTGGTGTCAGTGGGAGGAATAGTGCCCCGTCATTGGTGTCAGTGGGAGGAATAGTGCCCCATCATTGGTGTCAGTGGGAGGAATAGTGTCCCATCATTGGTGTCAGTGGGAGGAATAGTGCCCGTCATTGGTGTCAGTGGGAGGAATAGTGCCCCATCATTGGTGTCAGTGGGAGGAATAGTGTCCCATCATTGGTGTCAGTGGGAGGAATAGTGTCCCATCATTGGTGTCAGTGGGAGGAATAGTGCTCCATCATTGGTGTCAGTGGGAGGAATTGCACCCTATCATTGGTGTCAGTGGGAGGAATAGTGCCCCACTGTTTGTGTCAGTGGGAGGAACAATACCCCATCATTGGTGTCAGTGAAAGGAATAAGTGCCCCATCATTGGTGTCAGTGGGAGGAATAGTGCCCCGTCATTGGTGTCAGTGGGAGGAATAGTGCCCCGTCAGTGGGAGGAATAGTGCCCCGTCATTGGTGTCAGTGGGAGGAATAGTGCCCCGTCATTGGTGTCAGTGGGAGGAATAGTGCCCCATCATTGGTGTCAGTGGGAGGAATAGTGTCCCATCATTGGTGTCAGTGGGAGGAATAGTGCCCCATCATTGGTGTCAGTGGGAGGAATAGTGTCCCATCATTGGTGTCAGTGGGAGGAATAGTGTCCCATCATTGGTGTCAGTGGGAGGAATAGTGTCCCATCATTGGTGTCAGTGGGAGGAATAGTGCTCCATCATTGGTGTCAGTGGGAGGAATTGCACCCTATCATTGGTGTCAGTGGGAGGAATAGTGCCCCACTGTTTGTGTCAGTGGGAGGAACAATACCCCATCATTGGTGTCAGTGAAAGGAATAAGTGCCCCATCATGGTGGTGTCAGTGGGAGGAAAAGTGTTTTTTTTTTTTTTTTCACTGGTCCTTTAACAGTGCATTTCAAGGAGATAAACCATGTCACCATGATTGGTTAACTCAACATTCTCCTCCTGCCAAATCCAGAGTGTAGAGGAGCTCTGTGAATTGGTCCACGAGTTTGAAAGATGAGATTCTGAAGCTGTTTTAGCTTGGCCCTCGTTCCCGCAAACTCCATCACGGCGCAGACCATCAGACAATTGTGTTTGGCTGCACTGTATAGTGTGGCCATCACTCCAGGACAGCGGTGGGGTCCCGTGACCCCCAGATTATGACATGCACTGTATGGTATGGCCATCACTCCAGGACAGCGATGGGGTCCCGTGACCCCCAGATTCTGACATGCACTGTATGGTGTGGCCATCGTTCCATGACAGCGATGGGATCCCGTGACCCCCAGATTCTGACATGCACTGTATAGTGTGGCCATCACTCCAGGACAGCGGTGGGGTCCCGTGACCCCCAGATTCTGACATGCGCTGTATAGTGTGGCCATCACTCCAGGACAGGGTGGGATCCCGTGACCCCCAGATTCTGACATGCACCGTATGGTATGGCCATCGTTCCATGACAGCGCTGGGATCCCGTGACCCCCAGTTTCTGACATGCACTGTGAATGTGCAAGTTATCAGCCGAATTTAAATCCCGAGACGGCCTTTTTGGTGGAAGATGAAGTTTGGGAACGGCACAACATTGCTGTTGTGCAGACGATGAAGGCGTCTATTCACGCACAGGCGAAGCTTGTTACTGGCCGCGTTCCACATACACAAGTTGACTTGGGTTTCAGTTCTGGAAATACTGTTCTTTTGTAGGAAAATGTGTCTTGTTTGTGAGCTTTCTCTACCAGAGATGTGCAGTCTATTTACTTGGCTTTTGCGTGTATTTAAACAGAGCTTTTTATATGCCCCTTCCTACTCGTAATGTGTAATTTTTGGGCTGCAGACTTGTGTTTACAGAATGTCAGACACTTAAAATGACCTTCCTCCATGACTCGGGTTTTACAGGCAGGCAGACTTCAGCAGATAACATCCATTTAAAGTGCACCTGTCATTCAGCTGTGGATGTTTAATGTTCTTCAGAACCGTTCTCCCAGTCTACTGTCTCTTCTGTCTGTATTTTGCCCTCACTGGTTGCTCCCCTTACCCCTTCATCAATATACTAAGGGGGTTTTTAAAGCAAATTTTTTTTTTTGTTATAACATTGGGTCTCTGTGCTTCTGTGTGCAGTGCTGGTAGATCATGGCTGGTGGGCGCCGCCTCCTGTATCGTGACTGGGGAACGGCACCTCCTGTATCGTGACTGGGGGACGGCGCCTCCTGTATCGTGACTGGGGGACGGCGCCTCCTGTATCGTGACTGGGGGTCAGTGCCTCCTGTATCGTGACTGGGGGTCGGTGCCTCCTGTATCGTGCCTGGGGGTCGGTGCCTCCTGTATCGTGCCTGGGGGTCGGTGCCTCCTGTATCGTGCCTGGGGGTCGGTGCCTCCTGTATCGTGCCTGGGGGTCGGTGCCTCCTGTATCGTGACAGGGGGACGGTGCCTCCTGTATCGTGACAGGGGGACGGTGCCTCCTGTATCGTGACAGGGGGACGGTGCCTCCTGTATCGCGACTTGGGGACGGCGCCTCCTGTATCGCGGCTGGGGGACGGCGCCTCCTGTATCGCGGCTGGGGGACGGCGCCTCCTGTATCGCGGCTGGGGGACGGCGCCTCCTGTATCGCGGCTGGGGGAACGGCGCCTCCTGTATCGCGGCTGGGGGACGGCGCCTCCTGTATCGCGGCTGGGGGACGGCGCCTCCTGTATCGCGGCTGGGGGACGGCGCCTCCTGTATCGCGGCTGGGGGACGGCGCCTCCTGTATCGCGGCTGGGGGACGGCGCCTCCTGTATCGCGGCTGGGGGACGGCGCCTCCTGTATCGCGGCTGGGGGACGGCGCCTCCTGTATCGCGGCTGGGGGACGGCGCCTCCTGTATCGCGGCTGGGGGACGGCGCCTCCTGTAGCTCGGCTGGGAGACCTTGCCTCCTGTAATTTGACTTGTATTAGTGTCACTATTGGTGTCAGTTAGTGTACCTCCCATTCAGTGTCTGTTAGCATCAGATTGCCTGCCACACTATCACAATCCTACTAATAAGTCACTGAATACCACCATTACCAGTATAGTATCATAGCTGCGTAAATTCCAGTATATATTCCTTAGTTTGTAGACGCTGTGACTTTCAAACCAATTAATATACACTTATATACACTTTTTGGAATTTTTTTTTTTTTTTAACCAAAGAAATTTGCAGAATACATTTTGCCATAAATTTAGGAAAAACATTCAAGTGTTACTAAACCCACAGCAGTAAAATCAGTCTGTATATGCAGTAAAGCATGCTTGTTATACCCACTGTTGAACCTAAGGGGTTAATCCTCTGCATTGTGTAAAAAAGGCTGTTTGATCCTGTCTTATTTGATCCTCCCCTTCTTCTACTGTCCCCAATCCATCAGTCTTAGTACATAGCAGCTGTTCTAAGTCTGCACATTCTGTTTGGTGTGTATTGCTAGAGTTTTTTTTTTTTTTGGGGGGGGGGGGGGGGGTGATCAGCACAGGGTCAATCAGCACTCTCTGGATAGAGGGTCAGGGGTCATGCAGCCTCATAGTCAGAGATATAGTGAATGCGGGGTCCGGGGAGAGCGAATATAGTGAATGCGGGGTCCGGGGAGAGCGGATATAGCGAATGCGGGGTCCGGGGAGAGCGGATATAGTGAATGCAGGGTCTGAGGAGAGCGGATATTGTGAATGCAGGGTCCGGGGAGAGCGGATATAGTGAATGCAGGGTCCGGGGAGAGCGGATATAGTGAATGCGGGGTCCGTGGAGAGCGGATATAGTGAATGCGGGGTCCGGGGAGAGCGGATATAGTGAATGCAGGGTCCGGGGAGAGCAGATATAGTGAATGCGGGGTCCGGGGAGAGCGGATATAGTGAATGCAGGGTCCGGGGAGAGCGGATATAGTGAATGCAGGGTCCGGGGAGAGCGGATATTGTGAATGCAGGGTCCGGGGAGAGCGGATATAGTGAATGCGGGGTCCGGGGAGAGCGGATATAGTGAATGCGGGGTCCGGGGAGAGCGGATATAGTGAATGCGGGGTCCGGGGAGAGCGGATATAGTGAATGCGGGGTCCGGGGAGAGCGGATATAGTGAATGCGGGGTCCGGGGGGAGCGGATATAGTGAATGCGGGGTCCGGGGGGAGCGGATATAGTGAATGCAGGGTCCGGGGAGAGCGGATATAG